GAAACAGCACCGGCACTCAGACTGATCCTTGTGGAACCAAACTCGTCACATTATACGGGTGTATTATACACTTGTGTTGTTATACAGGTGTGTTATAACACCTATTATACAGGCGTTTTATGTGATATACAGATGTGGTTATACACCTGCATTATACAGGTATTTCATATACCTGTTTACACAGCTGTTATTCTGATTTGTCACACACCTGCGATACACACATGTGTGTCACCTGCGATATGCACAGGTGTCACACACCTGCGATATACACAGGTGTTACACACCTGCGATATACACAGGTGTCACACACCTGTGATATATCCAGATGTGCCACACCTGCGATATACACAGGTGTGTGTCACACCTGCGATATACACAGGTGTGTCACACGCCTGCGATGTACACAGGTGCGTCACACGCCTGCGATATACACAGGTGTGTCACATGCCTGCAATACACAGGTGTTTTACACTTGATATATACAGGTGTTTTACGCCTGATATATACAAGTGTTTTACACCTGATATATTCAGGTGTTCCATACCTGATGTATTCAGGTGTTCCATACCTGATATAGACAGGTGTTCTAAACCTGTGTTATTATACACCTGTTATATAGCTGTTATTCGCCTGTATTTCTATACGAGTATTATACACCTGTGTTATTATACAGGAATTCTCTTCTACAAGTGAATTGCTTGTAACACCTGTTATACAAGCGTGTTATACACAGGTTTGATATACACTTGTTCTGTTACACCTGTGTTTTACACCTGTTCTGGTATACGTATATTTATTATATAAGAGCGCTATTATTTAAGTATGCACTTATAAATCTTTGTTACAGATCTGTCTTGTTATACGAATGTGATGATATTCAGCTGTTTCCTGAAGTATTTACTAATTGTCAAGTACGTTACATTACAAGATTCGTCATTAAGAGACGATTACCTGCCTTGCAATGCATGAGAAAGTTATTTTCCCTATTGCAGAAACAAACTGTATCTTAACTCTGTAGACTATGAATAAAAATGAATAATGTTCCGTATTTATACTAATATAAACGCTAAAAGTCAATTGATACGGACATAATTATGATGTAAATATAAACTTTTCGCCTGGGCTGCAGTTTTATCATACGAGTACAGATCAATTACACTCCTGCACACGTCACTGCACTAACAAAACCCCTCGTGGGCGAAACAGTTAATACTATGTCTGGTCTTATATGTATATCTTATTTACATACTGAGGGTGTACAATTAATAGGTAAACATAAGCACAGTGATTAACAAATTCATTTATCCGGAACCTTTAACAGTGGGAATCCTCAATGCCCGTATAATGCATTCTTTATAATAGGAGTTAACATAGCATTTTTTTATTAATCAACAAGAAATTTCCTAATGAGCTTTATCTTTAGATATCTACTACAGCTAGATTCTAAACCAAAATATAACACCCTTAAAGAAAATAATCACCCCAAAAAAAGATGTACCCCTAACTTTCAGCGTTTTTTGATCAAAAAAAAATTGAAATTTTCAGCATTAAAACCAATAAAAAAACTTGTAAAAATTAAGTAATAGTGTTTGGCCCCCACACAAGAATGAGAAAAAACCCCCACAGCTCTGCCCTTGTAAAACAGCAAATTTAAAACCCAACTAATTTTATAGTAAACCCAAAATCGAAAAAAAACGTTATATTTTAAATTTGTATAATATTTTAAACCCAGTTTTTTTACGCTCATTTTTTTTTATGGGTGGTTTCCTTTTAGGGCACGAATGAGAAATTCCTGTGGATGTTTCATAGTAAAATTAGAGGCTCGATCCTTTAGCCCACACCATCTAAACAAGGTTTGTACCATTTTAGACAGTTGCCAACTGCTTAAGTTTATAAGGGGATTAGGTAAAGGAATATATAAAATATAAATATATTATATATAAAAGGGCGACTATTGGCAGAAAGGTGGGCAAAGGCAAAGATGAGTAGTGGGGGGGGGGGGGGGGTTTTAAGAAAGGGTTGGAATAGTTTTTAAAAAAAGCAGTATTAGAATGTGGGGGAGAAATTTTTGGGGGTTTTTAAAGGGGGGTTTGGGGGCCCAAAGGGAAAAAAGGAGTGATTTTGGGGAAATTTAAAGAAGTAAAGGGTGGTAAAAAAAGGAAAAAAAAGGGACTTAAAGAGAGGTTTTTTTTCAAAACAGAAGTGTTATAAGAAGAAACCGAAATATATGGGGGATTTAAAAAAAAGGTGGAGAGGTGCAAAAGGAGAGCAGATGAAAGAAATGGAGAGGCACGTTTAAGAAAAATTTTAAAAGAAAAAAGACCCAAAATTTTTTGGGGTTTAGTTTTAAAAAGTTTTAAAAAAGCCCTTTGGGGGAAAATAAAAGGATTTGGGCCCCGTTAAAAAACAGAGTTTGGGGAGTTTGTAGAATTTAGGAGGGGGGAGGAATTTGGTAAAATGGCGAGAATAATTTTTAGGAAACCCTTTTTAAAAGTTGAGGGAAAAAAGGGAGGCGGGAATTTCCCTGCACTGGGCCCGGGAGGAAAAACCATCTTTTTGGAGTGAAAAGAGCAGAAAAGTAAGTGTGGTGGAGGGACGTGGGGGCAAATTTCAGAAAAGAAAAAAGGGGGTAAAGCAGCTTTGGAAAATGATGGGATCATGACCCAAAAATTTTTTAAAACAGGGGGGGGGTATAGGTTGGAGTGGGTTTTTTTCTTTTGTTTAATAAATGTATGAAAGAGGGGAAAAGGACCTGGGATTTGGGGGAAAGCATGTATAAATCCCCCTTTTTATAAAGGGAAAGGGGACAAGAGATTGTAAAAAAAAATAAGGAATAAGTTTTCGGATATACCAGGGAAAAATATACGGTAGGGGTTTTTAATTGAAAAAAATTAGAGGAAGACAGAAAAGTAGAATTGCGGGTGAGCAAGGAACTTCCCGAGAGGTAGGGGGTGTGGGAGAAACAAATGTTTTAAAATTTAACAAATATGTGAACAGTATTTAGATAAAAGGGAGGGAAATTTTTTTTTTTCATTTATGGATTTTGAAAAGGCATAAATAAAAGTGGATAAGGGAACAATGTGGGGAGATGTTGCAAATATATGGAAAAGGGGGGGTTTTTAAATTTCTAAATGCCCGGAAAAGGGGCTTTTTAGGATATTTGGGGGGTCAGGTTAGGGTATGTAGAAAAAGAAGGGGGGAAAAACTCCCGGGAAAAATAGGTCTTAGACAGGGATGTTTTAATGTCAAACCATGGTTGTTTTTAAAAATATTTTTAGATGGGGATGTAAAAGAAGTAAAGCCAGGGGGTTTTCGGGAGAGGGGTGGGGTTAAAAATTAAAGGGGGAAACAAATTCAAAATGGGAAAAGATACAGTTTAAATTTTTTCTGATGAAAACTGTGCTTTTGGGAGATTCCCAAAGAAAAATTGCAAAGGTTAGTGGATGAGTTTTGAGAATGTGGTAAAGGTAGAAAGTTGAAAGGGGAAACATAAGGTGATGAGGTATCAAATGATTTAGATAGAAAAAAATTGGATATAAAATTGGGGAGGAGGAGTATGGAAGAAGTGAATGTTTTCAGATACTTGGGAGTTGACGTGTCGGCGGATGGATTTATGAAGGATGAGGTTAATCAAAAGAATTGATGAGGGGAAAAAAAGGTGAGTGGTGCGTTTTGAGGTTTTATGTTGATTCAAAAAACGTTATCTATGGAGGCAAAGAAGGGAATGTATTGGAAAGTATAGTAGTACCAACACTCCCTTTTATGGATGTGAAGCTTGGGTGGTAAATGCAGCAGCGAGGAAAACGGTTGGAGGCAGTGGGAGATGTCCTGTCTAAGGGCAATGTGGTGGTGTAAAAAATTATGCAGAAAAATTCGGAGTGTGGAAATTAGGAGAAGGGGTGGGAGTTAATAAAAGCATTAGTCAGAGGGCAAAAAGAGGGTTTTTTTGAGGTGGTTGGTCATTTAGAGAGAATGGATCAAAATAGAATGACATGGAAAGCAATATAAATCTATAGGGAAAAGGAAAGAGGGGTAGGTCGTCCTCGAAAGGGTTGGAAAGAGGGGGTAAAGGAGGTTTTGTGGGCGAGGGGCTTGGACTTCCAGCAAGCGTGCATGAGCGTGTTAGATAGGAGTGAATGGAGAACGAAGATACTTGGGACCTCGATCATTGGAGTGTGAGCAGGTAAAATTTAGTGAAGGGATTCAGGGAAAACCCGGGTTATTTTCATATATTTGGGACTGGTCCGGGGAAATTGGGAAGTAAAAAATGCCTGCACTTTAAGGGGGGGTTTGGGTATTGGCAGTTTGGGGGGATATTTGTGTATTTTTATACGTATATGCTTCTAAGCTGTTTTATTTGAGCACCTTTGGGGAAAAAGCAGTGATAAAGTTTGAGTGAGGTAAAAGGTTTTGAAGATGATGAAAGTATTTTCTTTTTGGGCTTTTTTTTCTTTTTTGGGTCACCCTGCCTCGGGGGGGAGACACCGACTTGTTGAATAAAATTATATATATATATATATAATTATATATATTTTTAATTTTAAAAAAATTAAATAAAATTTTATATACTAAAAATATTGGGTTTAGCAAATCTTTTAGCTTCAAAAATTCGAAATAAGTTACTGTTTCGAAAATATTTATAGATATTTTGCCCTTTTTTTCAACTCAGAAAAAAAAGGGGCAGGTGAAAAGAAAAACCAACGCGGTGGCCCAAAAAAAAAAAAACCCTTGTCATTTTTTCTTTCTAGCTTTTTTCCTCAATCGTCTTTCTACCTAATTTTTGGGGCACACAAATTTAAAAAAAATTTTTCCATAGCTAATACACAACTAATTCTGATTTAAGTTCCGGCGTTAATAAACTTCTTCAAGTACCCAGGTTGAACAACAGAGTGCAGCAACATAGCAGCACCCGCGAGGAAAACCCCCACCTGCAGTACAAGCAACACACGATTAATGAAGCACTTTATTATTAGTAGTATTAAGAAGCCCGCGAAGGCCATTCAGAGCAAGGAGTGGTGGAGGCTCGATCCTCCATCCACAGATCGTGAGGTCCCACTCTTACAACCAGGTTTCCCATGCGTCATGATGCACTTGCAGAAGCGTAAAGGACATCCTGATTTTAGATAAATATCTTTCAAATTTTCTTCCAGGTGAACCCCCTTCCCTAAAAAAATGACGTAAAAGATGCAGACATATTGCATATACATCCATCAGTGTACATATATATGTCGTGCCGAAGAGGTAAAACTAGCGATTTTGGCTTAACAGCAAAGCTGTTCTTGCTGAATAAGGCAAGGGAAAATTTGTGTATGCAATAATTTCGCAAAACTGATTCTGACCCTAACGAAAAAAAAATATGTTTCATTGTTTGTTTATTACTAATTTATTGTAAATTTATCTAAAATATATTTAGCTGGTTTAGGCTAAATAAAATTGCACTTGTTGTAATAAGTTTTTTTTTTAAAGTTTTCTAAGGTTCTTTTGGTACAAAATTATTAATTTTGCAGTAACATAAATGAAAAGATATATCTTTAAACGTACAAGAGAAAATTTTAGAAAGGAATTAATTTTAAACGAGTTCTTGCTAACTGACCAGTTTTAATTATTCGGCACGACATTTTATATTTTATATATATAATATAAATATATATATATATATAATATAATATATATATATATATTTAATTTTAAATATATATATATATATATATTAATATTAGTAAAAGTATACTTTTTAAAACTTTTGCAGCAGTGTCTAAGAGTGTGTGTATATCACGATTAGCGTACTGAGGATTGAGCCTCCAACAATCCTTGTGCTGAAAATTAACATTATTGGAGTATACTTAGTGACGGTTTCGGGGGTCAACGCCCCTGCGGCCTGGTTAGTGACCAGGCATCGTGGTGGATCAGGGCCTGATCAACCAGACTGTTACTGCTGGCCACACGCAAACCTACGTACGAACCACAGCCTTGCTAGTCAGGTACTGACTAGATGCCTGTCCAGTGTCTTCTTGAAAACAGCCAAGGGTCAACTGGGAGGCAGTTGAACAGTTCGACGATTACTGTGTTGTCTCTTAGCGTACTCGTGGAGCCCCTGGGGGGATGCATCTCCTGTCAAATCTTTTGCTTTCGTAGGGAGTGATTTTCGTGTGCAAATTTGGTACTAACCGCTCTAGGATTTTCCAAGTGTATATTATTATGTATTGTTTTCGCCTGCGTTCCAAGGAATATAAATCGAGGGATTTCAACCGTTCCTAGTAATTTAGGTGCTTTATCGTACTTATGTTTGCCGTGAAGGTTCTCTATACATTCTCCAGGTCAGCAATATCACCTGTATTGAAAGAGGCCGTTAGTGTACAGCAATATTCCAGCCTAGAGAGAACAAGCGATCTGAAGAAAATCATCACTGGCTTGGCGTCCCTAGTTTTGAAGGTTCTCATTATCCCTCCTATCATTTTTCTAGCAGATGTGGTAGGTCAACTATACAAACGATCATTAAGGGTACGTGCAACTTATTCACCTTCAGTTCTGGGTAATTTCATCCCTGAATTAGGGATTAATTTCTCAGCATACATACACAGATAACTTTCTCCGTATACTTAGCCTTGCTGCTCTTGTGTGTACATCATTCTGCATCCACAACATTTTTGGGGGAAGGTCACACGGAGAATCTTCCCACAATATTTACCTTTTGTTTCAACAAGTACATCATGACGGACTAAATAAATGATTTCTGAAATCTGAAAATGTTATTGTTGACTTTTGGTACCTTATTTACCATTTAAATAAATTTTGTATCTTAACCAGTGACTCCATGTACACAAAAGAAATATATACCTGTTTGTACTTACCCCCTGTGGAGGCGCCCTCCCGCGGGGAACTTTCTATGTACGTGGAGTCAGTGATGATGACCTCCGTGGAGAGCCTGTACACGTGCAGGATGGAGGCTGTGCAGCGAAGGATAAGCACACCTTGTTGGAAGTGTTCATGTTGTAACAGCATCTGTAGACCAGACCATGATGCTTCACACCCGTCACTGTCTGTCTCACCAGGATACACCACTACTGTCTCTCGCGATGCCTGTCAGTAATAAATACATATCCATATGTACATTTCTTTCTTATATGGGAGTCACTAAGTGTATGAGCAGGAGGCAAGGCTCGAACCTCTGTGCGCTAAGACGAATGCACTACCTATTATTTATTATTATTATTATTATTATTATTATACATATATGTTCAAGTACTAAATACGTAGGAGTCATAAAATGTAAGCGTAATGAGAGGTAATCAGGTTGAAAATGAAGAAGTGGGGGGTAAGATCAAATTCTTGGATCAAGAGATTGTCACCTTCCTAACATAGGTAGTCTCTATCGTTATGTTATTAGACAAAGAATGGAGCTTCCACTATTTATGCTGAGTGACCCAAGCGGACACGGACGGGGTATGAAGTCTAGCCCATATGGGTTAACCACTTCATATAAATTACATAAATTAACACAGACTTATTACAGTGATTGTTTTTTTAAGTTAACATGTCACATTGATTTTCTTTAATATAATATTACCTGCTACTCTCTTGCTAGTTTGTACATTACATTGTAACTCCACATATTTATTTATTTAATGTCTTTGCAAACAGTACACTGAGATTTTGCATTTACAATAGTGGGTTGCAATGCAAAGAGAACCTCTATTATGCCTGGCATTATGGGCCAACTTAACATTATTGGCTTACAGACTACTTAACACTAAGGATTATATCATAGTTGTACAGTAGGATAGTAATTATTTCATAGTTGTACAGTAGATTATTAATTATAAGTGAATCTAATTTATATAAGACAAAAGATATATTCATATATTCAAAAATGCTTTTTGTGAAAACAATGATTCAATTTTATTCCTGTCAGCAATGGATAAAAGGTTCAAAGTGATTGTTGAAGTTATGATGTGGGAGAACATAAGTGAGTATGTGTGTACTGAGTATTTAGCATTTAGTCTAGGGTGATTAAGTGGCTTTTGAGGCAACTATTACTTACAAATTCTAGAAACATGAAAATATAATAATAAAGCGCTAACTAGGTATTCCCAGTAAGGGGATACCTGTAACTGCTTCTTAATTTTTTTTAAATAAACACATATTACTTATAATGAAGAATCCGCTAAGAAAAGACTTGGAAATGAGCTGAAGTAACAACTCTCAATTTTTTAAATACATGACAGGAAATCCTAGCATGAACCCGGGCTTCTCAATGTCCCATATCATATTCCTTCCTTTGTGATCCCAACTTCTCCAAATCCTCCTCATCCTAAATCAAGAAAGAATAAATTATTTGCACCAATATACAGCTGAACAAACAGCCGATCATCTATCTCAACCAGACAATTCAGTGGACCTCAAATAGCTGTGTGGATACAATATATGTAAGAATATCAGTGGTTATTGTAATATCTAGAGTTACTCACGACCGCCAAAATACCGATATATACATCCACGATCCTGTTCAGCAAAAACATTCTTTCACTACAGTACTATTATACAATACATACACAGCCAGAACTTAGATTTTAGCAATTTAGCAGCTTTCCAAGCTGTGGCAGGTTAATAACACTATCACCATACTGACCACTAAATACTGAACACGCTTGTATGGTACAGACTACCAAAACTGGCATAGAACTTCAAGAAATACGAAAACACAGGACTGATTACCTCTCGACACACCAGACACAAGGGAAGCATTAGACGAGTGCAGTAGATTTGGCGCTCACCGGGTGGTAACAAACGTCTCTGACGGTTTCCAAGGATGAAGAACTATACTCGTATGTTGCGTCCAAGGGAGTTTGTGAACTTGCATAACCCACCCTAATTCCTTTCCTGGCCAAAATTCCTTCCCTTGGACTTGAAATTTCTTCCTTGGGGGTCCAAATTGACCCCACAGTGAACCACTGACCTAAAACGAGTCACGCTTACCCTCAGAAAGGAATATTGATTTACAACCACAAACATAATTATAGCTCAGTGTTGGTAAAATGAGATGTAACTAACCAGGTGTCCATTGATATGCCAAGCGAGGGTGGTGGCTGGATAGGAGTAAGGGGATGAGCAGTTCAGCAGCAGCAGATCACCAACTTGATAGTTCTCCCGTCGCCCTGTGATGGTCGGGCCCCGCGCTGGAATGTCTGGAATTTTTTTTTATATAATTATTTACCTACTGCAGTGTAAATACGAGTCAGGTAAAAGATGGCCGGTAACAGTGTCAGCAGGCAAGAGGCCTACTAACACTGAGTACTCTGCTCTACCTACGGTCAATATGTAGCGTGAGGCAACAATAAACTGTTACCTCTGTAATCTGCTTATTAACCCACACTACCATATATATGATAAAATATATAAATTATTTTGAAGTAAACACCGAGGTTACCTCATGAGATAAACTAAATATTTCTATCTAGATTAAAAACTATACTGTATTATCTAGATGGTGAAGGCAAGAATATTAAAGTAGAAGGCTCTCTTCCCACTATCCATTTCCTCTGGTCACTACCCGCATGAAATACGGAGAAAATTTGAGACATTCCAAATTAAAAAAACAGTCTTGGTGAGATGAAAGCGGATGGAAAGTATAGACTATGGAATACTACTTATTAGCACTGTTCATACCGCAAATGCTCTTATTGCTCGTCTGTTATCCAGGGAACTGTGTGCATCAGTAGTCCCTCTTCTACTTACTACTAGTTATTAGTTCTGGATATTGTCGTGCAGGTGGACGCCCACCACAGCTACGACTACCATAACCACCCCTTCTATATCTACTTCTGTCACTGTTACAGTTAATTTGTATCATTCGTAAAAACTGAGAGATCTCCCAAAGAAGTTTATGGAAAAAAAGGTTTATCGGGACCAGCAGCTTCAACTGAGGTCCAGCGCTGTGGGTCATCTACCAGATGACCCACAGCGACGGTCACAAACTTGGAGAGAATCTAGGCTTCTCCCTGAACCTCTCCAAATGTAAACTAGTGTATTCCAGCCAGGTCGCCAATAAGTCACAGCCGCCATGCAAGGCACTGGTCCGGAACAAGCTCTTCTTGTGATAACGTTTTGCTCTATATGGAGCTTTATCAAGTTAAATTTTGTTCTGCACTAGAGTTTTTACATTATTACTGTGTTAAGTTCATTGACAGTAGTACTCTTCCCATTGTAACTTCTATCCCGGCGATGGATATATTCTTACTGAGGTTTATACTGCCTCTAAGAGGCAGGCTATGTGCTCCCGGAGAGAGAGCGGAGGATGGAGTTTGGTTTTGTCTGTCTTAACTTTTAACTACTGTGCGGTGTGCCTGTGCTGTATATACGAGGTGGAAAAATTCACCATCATGTCTTATATTTCTTTCCTGAGCGGACCATAAAGGCAGTGGAAGGTCTCTGTTATATCTCTTAAAGCTCAGCCGAGATGATCATCATAAGGCTCAAACACGCGTCAGGAAAAATGTTACTTCTTTTGATAAATAATAGCACCACTTCCCGTACGAGTGGAGGATGGAGAGAAACACTTGTGTTTTTGTCAACCATAAAATGTCGAGTTGGTGGTTGCCACACATGTACTCCCGTGTTGGTGATTGCCACACATGTACTCCCGTGTTGGTGGTTGCCACATACACGTACTATCGTGTTGGTGGTTGCCGCGCACACGTGCTCTCGTGTTGGTGGTTGCCACACACACGTACTCCCGTGTTGGTGGTTGCCACACACACGTACTCTCGTGTTGGTGGTTGCCACACATGTACTCCCGTGTTGGTGGTTGCCACACACACGTACTCTCGTGTTGGTGGTTGCCACACATGTACTTCCGTGTTGGTGGTTGCCACACATGTACTCCCGTGTTGGTGGTTGCCACACATGTACTCCCGTGTTGGTGGTTGCCACACACACGTACTCTTGTGTTGGTGGTTGCCACACACACGTACTCTCGTGTTGGTGGTTGTCACACACATGAACTCCCGAGTTGGTGATTGTCACACATTTTCTCACTCTGTGTTGACAAGAAAAACTTCAAGGTTGAAGTTCCTCATAATTAATGTCTTTCACATACAAGTTTCCTTTAATTAAGTTCTCGACACACATATACATAACTAATAAAGTCCTTGGTTCGAAAAAGTGAAACTTTTGTTGTGTAAAATTCCCACTTTACTCAGCAAGACTGTGCGCCAAGTTTGTATACAATAGTTTTGTTGGTAAAGTTAGTAGGTACAGACTATGATCATGACACTATGTTTTTTCTTCTTCCAGTTTTGCTGTCGTGGAGTCATCTTGTGCATTTCAGGTTCCATATTTTTGCTTCTCTTGGGACCATTTAGAATGTACATGCACTTCAATTTTTTTAAGAGTATGTGGCCATTTTGATATCTGCCATTAACGGTGATGAATCTCTGGAAAAAAAAGTTTATTTTATTTAATTAATATAAAACAACGTATCAGATGCCGTGGACTAAGACAAAAAAATAAAATTATATACCTAGATATCATTGCGAAATCGTTTAATACTAAAACACCTACCACTCAACCTGGCATTAAGACAGACGCCCTTTAGTTTCTAAGGCTAAACAGCCATTTTGAGAACTTTACTATACTAAATCCAGATGCACTATTAACGTCAGGTGCGAGTAGATCGAGGTGTGGGAGTGTGCGGAGAGAAGATCGAGCCCACCATTTTGCGATAAATGACCCAAACTGATTTAGCGCTTCATATAAGTATAATATAATAATACAGGATTCGAAGACGTACGAGTGTAGATGGTCGTTTCTGGTCTCGTCTGAGGCTCTATTTTCAGAGTTTGCCGATGCATTCGTTTGTGATTTACAGTTCAATACATACACTGAAAGCGAGGAGATGCTGGTTATGACGCTCACTGACTCTTGTAAACCAATACTTCTCGGCTCTACTCAATTACGGATGGGAGTTCCTATGTTTTACAAACTAAGAGCTGCTATCTTTTCTCAGCATTATTTTAAAGAGATACTCCAGGTGTTGAAAATATTTAGCGTTAGGCAATATACATAATGATACTAGGGTAAAGCTAGAGCTAAGGAGAGCTAGAGTTTATATTTGGCAGATGACTCTCTTATGAGTCAGATGGAGAATAAATGATCACTGATAGATTGATATCAATGGGAGAGGTACAACCAGAATGAACCTGCTTTTGGTTGCCCATCTTATGGTGTTATACTGTAACTGTATAATGGCTTCATACAATATTAGTCCAGCTGAGAGGATCTCTGAAACATGAGAGAAGGTAACGAAAGATGTGAAAGCTCTTTATCCAGTGGTAAACCAAGCTCGACTCCACCTTGGAAAATTTTCTTCAAAGGGATTACCATGTTCATACCAAACAATCCCTCAAATCCAAACTCCGTCCCATATACATAACAGTAAGGTTCCATCCAGTGCTAAAATGGTTGATCGAGTCAGAACAAGTTGAAGTTCGATGTGGGCTACCTAAATATTTATTTTACTAGTTCAGAAACTAAAGACAGAATGCGATTAGCAGGTCATCCAAGAGAGATGTGAATACTCAAGAACTATATTATGTGTGGTGACAGCCTTGCTGGTAAGGTTCGTAACATAGGTTTTCATACTCATTGGAGGTCAAAGATCACATTCGTGTAGACTATTTGAGTGTTGTATGTTCAATGCCTTTCCCTGATCCAAACACCGGTTCTATTGGTAACATCACAATATTTTGTGATTGTTACCACCCAGTTATCCAACCACTAGTTCTAGTGGTAACATCACGATGTTTAGTAACTCACCACCCACTTATCCAAACACCAGTTACAACCAATCTTCATAATAACGAGGTTTCGCTTTAAGTGTAGCTAGGTAATATGAACTTCCGACTTTTTGTATATCTTTGTTACGCAATTGTTGGTGACATCCTCCTCTTGTACCCGCTACTGTCAGCAGTTATATCGTCATGTTTAGTGATTATCATTACGCGTGTTTATCCAGGAACACTTTTTTTCAAATTCGAAGTTTATTCTCTATAAGGATTACAATGCTGAGTTTACAGAATTTGGTTATTGTGTGGTTTACGTGTAGTAAAATAATGATTACAGAGTGTACCACTAGAACACCTAGCATGGCTAGGCATTTCGGGCAGACTTAGTTTAATTCTTTATTTTAAAATATTACAAATTATGAGGTAAGTTGGTATTATGGCTAAGTGACTAAATACTAGTTTGACTTGACCCGCTCTCACTTGTCCCAGGTCCTTTTCCCCTCCCTCCTCCCTCCCTCACCCTATCTCAGCATACAGCCCTCCTATGTCAATCACCAGCCACAAAGTCCACACAAACTCCTTTATCTCTCTGCCTCATTTCCCCAGTCCCACCTTACGCATTTCCCTCACCTTCCCTCTCTCACTTTTCCTCTCCTTCCTTTTTTTTATGCTTAATGTCCTATTTCGCTCATCTTTCCTCTGTTCCTCTTATTCTCCCTTTCCCTTCATCTCCCCTCTAATTCTTCCCCCCCCCCATTATCTCTTTCTCCTTTATTCCCTCTTCCTTGCTTCATCTCCCTCCTTGCCTGCCTTTCTCTACCACCTGCCATCACAATAATCCCGCAGTGTCAGCCGGGATCAACTAAGTCTCAAGAAGTACAATTTATTCTACAGAGTTTTCCAACTGGTCCTGAGGACGCTGCCCTCCACTTATCACCTCGTGTTGTGTGAGGATTCCCTGCTCTTAACCCCCTTCCTCCTACACACGTGCGCACATACACACTGTACGTCAGGCCCATATTGAAATATGCAGCACCAGTATAAACTCACACCTGGTCAAGCACATCAAGAAATTTGAGAAAGTGCAAAAGCTTGAAGCAAGACTAGTCTCGGAGCTAAAAGGTATGTCCCACAAGGAGAGGTTAAAGGAAGTCGACCTGACGACACTGGAGGACAGCAGAGATGGATGGATGGGGGGCATGATAACGACATAAAATACTGAGAGGAATTGAAAAGATGGTTAGTGACACCTGGATAGGACAGCTGGTGTCACTGGGTCAGAAGCCGTGCTCCTTCCTTAAGTGGTGGTGACCTGACTGGGTGGGCCATTGGTCTAAGCCGGAGGTTGACATGGACCTGCCCCGCATGGGCCAGTAGGCCTGCAGCAGTTTTCCTTCTTTCTT